GAGCAGAAAGAAGTGTGTGTGTGTGTGTGTGTGTGTGTGCGTGCGTGCGTGTGTGTGTGCGTGTGTGTGTGCGTGTGACCGTCAGCTGTTAGCATTAGCATGCAGCTAGCGGTTACCATGGAGACATTAGCATTAGCACGGACCTGGTCCAGGGAGAGGAACTGGTAGAAGGTCTCCGGGATCTCCTCCACCAGGTCCAGTAGCTCCAGATCCGCGTCCCAGGCGGTCAGAGGGGGGGCCGAGGAGACCAGGAGGGCCAGGCAGACCAGCAGGGACCCGCAGGGACCCGAACAGACCCCCATCACCGACAAATCGTTTCAATATGTGACAGAAAACACGACCCGGGTCTACAGCAGTCCGTGAGCCAGCTCAGCGACCGACCGACCCGGAAACACTGCAGGACACATCCGGGTTACACCTTCAGAATAAAAGTCTTGTCTGTGAGACCTCCAGTGACTCCTACAGGAGGTTGAGAGAACTACAGACTGAAGAACGATCAATAATATTTATATATTTATATTAATAACAACAGTTATTAAATGTGATCGTTTATTGAATATTTTTTGAATATAAACTCAACAAACACAAACAATTATCATTATTATTATCATTATAGTTTAGCTCTATATACATATTATTGATTAAATTTCAGGGACAGGGCATATCAAATATAGATCTTTGTTTGTTGTTTATAAAACAAATAAAGGTGTGTGTGTGTGTGTATGTTTACGTGAGAGATGGACAATAATGTTTTCATAACTCTGTTGTTAGTTGTTGTTGTTGTTTGTCTCTTTCTCTCTGTCCTGTGATGATGAAACTCTTCATTGTGTGTCATCATCATGAACTGACGATAATTTCACAGCCTTACCGTCCAGGTAACCATGACTACAGTGTGTGAACAACAAATCACAGCTGTTTAAAGTGTCTCAGCAAAAACTCAGACTGGAAACAACAACATACAGCAGGGGAGCAGGGGAGTCGAACTCAATCACAGAGAGGGACAAAATTAAAAACTGTCGAGGGCCAAACAGGGTCAACATTTATTGGACAGGATATTGGATGAAAGTGTAGTAGGTACACAACATTCTTCTTGTATGCACATGTGCCAGAGCCAGATTCAGTTCAATCCAGTTTTATTTATATTGCATCAATTCATAACAGAAGTTATC